TGCAGTTGCAGTGCAGCTACTTGCCACTAGGCCACCAGAGCTAGCCATAATTTGATTTCTTAATTGCTGTTCCATGGACACTGATTGTCAAGTTACGTAAATTTAAGTCCTTCATAATTTTAAACTTGTCTCCATATACAATGATGTTGTTTATTTGTCAAGCTGTGAGGATTTTTTGTTTTATAGCACAGGAATCTTTGACCCAAAAGGACCCACTATGTTCTCCACTTCTTCCTTGACAATGGTGAAAGTCCTCTTTCCTTCCTGAGGATCTGCTCAAGTTAAGTCTCAAAAAAATGGTAAAACTGGCCAATCCTCTCATTAGTATTCTACATACTTTGTTTTCACATTCACACCCAAAATGTGTGATTTACCTCAATCATATTATTAGCATAGCAGAATCCAACCATGTGTAAAAGTAAAAGACAACAGCTAGCAAAGACACTGAGTAGTTTATTATTGTTCAATTAACAGTTGAAACCATTTCTTCTTTATAAATTGTACCACATTAGTACGATGGTACTCTCAAAGCTTAATTCCATCACCTACAACATTAAAATTGACTTAACTTGCTAAGTTGTATTTTAAATGTCTTCCAACCAGAGTGGCCCATCTTACGTCACTATTTTAGGCAATGCTCCATTTGTATTCCTAAGATTTTCACTGTATTTTTGTTTGTTTGTTCTGTTTTGTTTTATTTTTAAGGAGCACATCACCGGATCCTGTCCACTGTAGATGATGTTACTGGTAGTTGAAATACTAGAGGCAAATCTACTAGTATCACAGCCACAGGCAAGCTACTACAGTAAAAAAGAAAGAAAATGGTAGATTTCTGACTACTAACCAAAATTTGTGTTGGTTAAGAAAGATATGGTCTGAATGGTCATAGACTTAAAATCTCAGTAGAGCAGTTCTACTCCACACGTAGGACGATGTCACTTGCCCAACAAGTTAAAAAGACCTGATTGAGTTCATGCTGCTTACTTAATAACTGATTTTAGAAATATAATTACCCACTTTTCAGATATGGGAGATTTAACTAGGAAATACACACACACAAAACTCACCAACTAACATGATATGTTGATATGAAGGATCACAGAGAGATTCTGTGTGGTCTGAAGTCCAGTTATACTTCTAGAAATGGGTGAGAGCACATAGAATTACAGGGCAGCAGGAGTCCGAGAGCAGAAAATTACCAGACAACTTTTAACACCCTGTGGTCTGCTATGTGATCTGCAGGTATGAAAGTAACTTCAGAGGAAAAGTAGCCAACACAGAAGTCTGTAATGTAGAATTTCACCCATTTCTGCTGGTTTGTATTATTGGGAGGGGAGAAAGCAGAATTTTGCTGCAGGTAAAAGACAGAATTTTAGTCAAATTGTATCATGGAAAGAAGGGTTCAGTTTAGAACTTAGAAAACTACGGTGCTAATCCGTTCTTTTAATTTGCCAAGTAATCTTAGTTAAACAATTTCCCAGTCGTGACTTCATCTTTTGAAAGACAGAATGCTTTTTTATTATTATTATTAAATTTTATTCGTTTTAATGAACATTTACAGGGATTTTGGGTTTTCATTCCTTCATTGCTGCACCATTCTCTCTACCCTCCTCCCCAGTTTGTTCTTCTTCCCCGCCATCCGAATGTCTGTTTTAATTGTCCAATTGC